AAACTTTGTCTTCAAAATAAGAGTGCGTCTTTTATTCCGAAAAATACGGTATGTGTCTTATGCACCCAATTTAACAAAAGTAGGATTCCCTTACAGTAAAATATGAATTTGTTGCTAAAATGGGATTAAAAGGGGGAAAAAGCATCTCAAAATTTGTTGTATTTTAAGGTGATGAAAACCTGTGTATGTAAATGCAGTAACATAAAAATGACCTAAGATCATATTGCAAGTGTATAGAATTGATTTTTTAAATGCAGTAACATAAAAATGGCATAAGATTCTTTCACAATCTTTATAATGGTTTCAAGTCTCAAGCCAAGACCAAAGAAATAGGTTTTTGATACATAGCACTTTACTAAGTTGTTAACAAACCTACAGGTAATAACATCATAATTCTGAATTAGTTGTTGCTCCATTACCTAATGATTTATAAGGAATGTACAGTGATGATGTTAGAAATTTTCTCCTGAGTAAGTCATCCCGTTAGGCACACATTTAAAAAATCAATTCTATACACTTGCAATATGATCTTATGCCATTTTTATGTTACACATTTGAAAAATCAATTCTATACACTTGCAATATGATTTTATGCCATTTTTATGTTACTGCATTTAAAAAATCAATTCTATACACTTGCAGTATGATCTTATGCCATTTTTTATGTTACTGCATTTAAAAAATCAATTCTGTACACTTGCAATATGCGAGGGAATAGAGAATTCCATGGAAGTCCAAGTCCCTAAAAGAGAGAGAACGGAACCTCCCATGCAGGATAAGAAATGATAATAGAGTAGTGGAAACCACTTGCTCCAAGATCCTCAAATGAAGCAAAGAAGGCTGAACCCTGCTGAGGTGTGAATTGAAGAACACACCCAAATGAACAAGATATTGGGTGGGTGTGAAATGAGAGTTCTTCAGCTTGACCAGCTAACAAAAATGAGTCACTTCCCAAAGAAGGAGAAGAATATAGTCACAGGAGGCCTGTTGGGATGGAGCTAAAATAAGTCAAGCCTTGAACGTGACAAGCAAAACCATGCACTGCTTAGCAAGAAACATGTGTGTGTTTTACAAACCCGAAAGGGAGAGTGAGGAACTGATAAACCCACCCTTGATGTATAAACCAAAGTTAAAGCTTGGATGCAGCAGAGATGGGAAAGTGAAGATAAGCATTGGAGAAATCCACCTTGGTCATCCGAAGCCCCAAAAGCAAAGGACTGCCAGAGGGGGAGAAAAACCTCTATAATAAATCAAGGAAGGTCAAGAAACTAATTTAGACACAAAAGATCTATGACCGGATGCTAATCCCCAAGAATAGCCAGGAATAAAATCCTAGTGAAGAATGAGAAACCTATTTAGTAACATCCCTAGCCAACAGTTCTGACACTGCCTTTAAGCGATGCTAAAAAGATACGGGATCCCCTGACGGAGGGAAAGGAATGGTAACAGGAGACAAGGGAAGAGGAGAGGAAAACGAAAGTGGAGAGTCACAGTAGAC